GATAGTAGTCCACTATCGTATTCTTTAGGATTCCACTAAAAAAGGATTAAAAGATAATTCACGATAGCTAGCAGGTAAAGACCTGATAATAATACGGTAAGATGTGTAAAGAGCTTAATTTTTAATAATTAAAATTAAGGGCATACACGCGCACGATTGAATAATGTAAGCATAAGATAATAACAACATCTATTACAACTATACATGTAGGTTAAAATTTTAAAATGCACAAAGCATTTTACTCACAATAATATAAAAGATCATTCCTCACTTATTAAATAAGATTAAAGAAGGCAATAATCCGAGAGGCAAACGTGGCGCTTCGCAGCTACATATAATAACAAGCAATTAAAAATTGCAAATGGAGGACCTTATAAGATTATACTAGAGCAACAATAAAAACAGTAGCATTTAAAATAATGTGTGTTACTATACTATATTTAATGTAGAATACATATTATCACAGTAAGTGGCTAATGCAGCCAAATAGCTGAGCGGTGGAATTCCCCACAATGCAGCCTCGTGAAACAATTGAATTTCGCTTAAATATGTTACCACAAGGTACTCCCACTAAGATGGCACTACAGTTTATACATCGCAATTGTCACATCAGCTTCCTTAAAATTAATTTAATCCGGTTTGTGCACTTAAAGTGACCATATTTTACTATTAAGCCACACACTTGTTTGAAGTGCTGGTGAAAACCATGTGAGGTCGATGAAGCTGTTCATAACAGATAATAACGCCTTTCTGTGAACAAGACAAAAATGGACCTCGATGACATTGGGAAGCCTACTAATCTTACTTGGGTAACTTTAACTATCAATCCTTCCTCACTATGTGCAACCTAGGATGATTAAAGTTCTTGGTTATGATTTATTAGTAGACTCGGACATTACTATATATGTGCCTCAATTTTATTGTTAGAACAAACTTCAGTGTCTTTGACGTCATCCTAATTATTCTAATGACAAGATTTTCTTCGTCCTAAATTAATTTAGTAAATTTCGATGTATTTACGGATATATTAGTCAAATATGCTAGTTTAACTAAATTTAAATTCGCTTTTTTCAAACACTTACCTTTTTCAGTACCTTCTGCAGTGTTGCGTTTTAGGACACTTTAGTATGCAGTAGTTACTGGTTGAGTTCTCAACTAATTGATATGATTGGATAGATTTATCCGAGAAAACGCAATGCATTCAGAGGCCTTAATTCCGGATTAAAAGTAGCATCCTGAATAAAAAAAGCCTAATAATTGTACATTAGCCTTTTGAATTATCCTTTATAATAAATATTAAAATGGTTCAATATATATATATGTATATTTGAACAACCACTGCTCTCAAAGAATCTCTTCATAATTTTTTTTCATTTTAACTTCATATCGTTCGAAAGTCTTATTGAAGTTATTATAAAGGGGTTCCATCGGAAACCGCAGAATGTCTAACTTGGTATGATTTATGTTAATTTGTGCTTAGAAGTCATCGGTTCACCAACATGAGACCATTCATCAAATTATGAATTTATTTTTGGACAATTACATCTATCACCTAGCTCAAACTAATGGACAGCTGCAATTATATGTATGTCGTATGAACTAATTTTTAAATCTTAACAGGTTTCCATGACATAGTTGGATACGTATTGATTGTACGTATTGAAAGAATCAAGTTTATATGATAACACTAAAAACTCTTTGCTTGCCTAAATCATTTTAAAATTGATCCAGTATCTAGAATGTGTGTTTTGATGCACTATTAGATATGTACATTTTGTATGCAATTTTTTGGAATCAGATGAGACTAAAAGTGCTATAAGAGACTCCAGGTTATTAAAATATCATTATTCTACTCATTAGCTCGCTCTAATCCTTCACCCTTTTCAAATCTAAGATTAAGATATATTTTGCAAATTTTTCTACACCTGTTTATTCTATTAAACTTGTAGATCATTTTTTCAATTTTTAATGATTCTGTAACCTTCCCTTAAACTGGCAAGCTTTCATAATTAGCAAAGTGTTGGTAACAACTTGATTTTGCCATGTTACCATTGACTCTGCTCCAATTTTGCCTGTTATAATCTTCAGAGGTTCAT